GTTACAACTGTAATTATATTTGTGTTTGTTACAACTGTAATTATATTTGTGTTTGTTACAACTGTAATGGTATTTATGTTTGTTATGACTGTAATGGTATTTATGTTTCAGTAACATTGGAATAACCATCTTCTGTTTTTGTTTTTAAAACCTTGTTTTCAGATCAATGGGCAAGATGTCTCTCAAGCTTCACATGAACGAGTGGTAGGAATAATCCGACAGTCAGGAGATTTGGTTGCTATGACTGTGGTTTCGGTCCTGACACCACCCACTGATAATATAAGTGATAAGTACACTACTACACAAAGGCAGTGTGCCACTCTACCTCGGAAACTATCTCTTAAGAAAGGTTGAGTAATAACTCGTCTAACTATAATGAAACATTTAAGTTTCTGTCTTTAGTGAATTAAAAACAAATGTTTTTTAACTTAAAAAGCCAGAGTGTTGCATAAAACTTGCAAATTTAATGTGAGGTGTTTTTTCACTGATCAAGATACTTTCATTGGTTGATCACATTTCTAAAAATATGTCTACCGTTGTTTGACACGAAGCTAGGAATTAGTTTTGATTGCTGCATAATCTAAACAATAAAACATCTAGTTGTTGAAACTACAAATCCCTACTGGCAAACAGGGCAAGTAAGTGTACTAGCATACTAACCTGGAATGACAATTTCTAATTTTGAAGCAATTTTTTGAGTCTTGCAGTGGCTTAAATATAGATCTTATTTTGAGGCCAAATATGAACAAGTATTTTATATATAATTAAATAATGGTATCCCATTTAAGAAAAAAAAAAGTGTTTAGGACACAACAAGAGTAAACCTTAGGATTGATTATTTGGTTAATGAATTGGTTAACAAGGTGATAAATCAGTATCAGTGTACAGTATTCTTCATAAAACAAATCTAAATACTCGTTAACTTTGAAAACTCTTAAGTATAAAAAAAAAAACATTTTTCACATCTTGTACACACTTTGATAGTTGTATACTAAAACCTTCAAAGTTAATCTTGTGCATATCTTACTGAAAATAATCTTCAACACTAATGACAATATGGATTTGAATAATATTTAACGTGTGTTACAACAGAATTAACAAACTGATTACTAAGCAACCACATAGCCCCATAGTTCACTCTTTCAGTGTACCATAAAAAAAGTTATATTGGGTCATGAAGCCATTTGTCCATGTTTACTTCAAATATTCATGCCAGTGGATTCACAAACTTAAGGTTGGCTAGGCTTACATAAAACATTAGACCTCTTCACCTCTACTGTTTTATATATAGTAAGTCAGTTTATATATATAATTATATTGGTGCTTAGTTGTATATGATTTGTTTACATTCAAATGATTACTATTTAAAGTTTAAACTATTTTTCTGATGTAAATTGTTGGAGTCTAATGAATCACATCCATAAGTTACGCATTACTTTTTTTTACATATATTTTATTTCTGTTATGGTGATCATACATACATACCACAGTTTGAAGTTTGCAAAATTTTCAATAAGTCCTTCACAAAAATTCTAACTGGCCCTTATCAGATTTAACCATTTAAGTTCACCTGTAGCCATATGGCCACCACACAATGAGGTTTGAATTTCCTTTAGAAACGTGAAATGAGCACATAAAATCAATAGACAGAGACTAACCTGCACAGATGACAATCTCAGCTGTCAGTTCATATCCAACATGACCTATATTGCTATTCAAAACATTGGTAACATTTGCAGTTGAAAATTGCTTAATTTTTTATGATAAAACGGACCCAAAATGGCATCAAATCACACCAGTATTTTCATATTTGAAAAGAAAATTTAACTTATGCAAGCTGAAGATGATTTTGGTTCTGAATCTGGATTATCTGACGATGATTCTGAGCATGATATGACTGAAAAATAAGTACCTGCCTAAAGGGCTAATTGGTCCACTAAAATAATATGTATTTGTATACATATTGATTCCATTTTATCAATCACAGATGTGAATTTTTTAAAAAGATACAATTGCAAATATGTTTGTACATATACGTGCAACATTAAACAAACTCTTTAATTGAAAACAACAGTTTTGATCATACCACTCTTGGTAGTGTACAGAATCTTTATATTAATCCAGATAAACATAAACAAATTAAAGTGTCTTGAGATTAGTATTTGTTTACTGACTAAAAGATAAGGTATTTTGTAATTGAGATTTTAATGCTTACCACACTTCATTTGGATCGATCCTGCCATTCACATGTTCCAGGACCCTCCTTTTCATTTCAGATGTCATAAGGATTTCTCATAATATCTAGAAATAGGCTAGATATACCCAGAAAGCTAGAGGCTCCATTTGGGAGATTGAAATAAAAAAATATACTTTTACAAGATGAAAACACAACTATGGTTTTAGGTAAAAGTTGTAGAAATGCACATTTAATAACAAGATAAAAGAGAAAAGTTGCTTAAGATTTTTTTTTGCTATTTTAGTGATCCCAGAGGCATCCTAACTGTTCAGGACTGACTAAATGACAAACATTTTGGACCCTCATACATACAAACATATACATGGTTCAGTTCTATTTCAAAATTTGTGTTATTTCCAAATACTTGATAACTTTCCAGTAGCAGATTCACAAATCTTGGAAAACAATTTTCATTTAATGTATTTTCACAGCTCCCCCACCACCCAAACGTGATCCTCGGACTACACTTTCTGTTGGAAGGATACGAGCACGCTCTCTGGTTGCCGGACTTTCAGAAATTGGTTAGTTAGAACACTTTCGTATTTGTTCATTATTGATAAAAAATTTCTTTCCCATACATGTTTTTTTTTCAAAAGAACTAGCAAACTTCAGTTTTGTTTTTCTGAGAATTACTAAAGGAATGAGAGAAATTTCACTGTTGTGTTTACTAAGTAAAGAATTAACAGGCTGAACCACTCAGAATAACATGTAAGCTCATTTTTTTAGAAAATTGCGAAACAAATAAATAATAGTTGTGTAATATGACTTTTATGCAATATGTTTTTGTAATAACAGTTAAAAATTAACTGTATTTGCAAGCCATTTGGAATGGTTACATAATTCCTGTCAAACAACTGTGTTTCACTGTTGTTCTTTTATACTGCTAACACTCCATAGCTTTGTCATTTAAATTGGGAAATTATATGTCACTTTTTTATTTCTGATTTAAGTTATTTTTCTTCATTATAAAACATAGTACTCGTTTTTGATACTGGTATGTTATATCAATTCAAAGGCCAGGCATGGTCTAATGATTAGTGTATTTGTACTGTGAATCTGAAGATTCATAGTTTGTAACACATTGCTGTAAGAATATTCTCCACGCTTAGAGGATATGGGTTCATTAAAAGAATGTTAATCAAGTATCAATATTCGATCAGACAAAAGTAGCCCAAGAATTGGCATTGAGTGCTATTCACTAGCTGTGATCCCTTTAGTCTACCAATTCAAAATTAGGAATAATTGCATGCAGATAGCCATTAAGTAGCTTTAGCAAATTCTAAAACAAACTCAGACCAGTATATCAGTGATTATTATTGTTATTTTGAAAAGTTAGTTTTGCTGATATGGACATTATGTATTTTGAGAATTGAAAAGTAAAATGTTTTATGAAAAATATTAATAAATATCGTAAGTTGCAAGAAAAGGTCCATACACTTGTCATTAATTTTCTTTACTTCTTCCTTTAAAGAAGTCTTGGACAGAACAATAAATGAATATGATTCTGAGGGAAGATCAACAAAAAGTAGTTCTATTGAAAGCATACCAAACAAACCAGGAAACATAACAGCAGAAGGAAACAACAAGGTTGCTTCTATTCGGTCTCGACCAAGTTCTCGGCGAATCTCCACAGCCGAATTAGAGGATATTTTTGCTCGTCAAAGAAGTGTGAATGTTACAGGTCCATATGCTACATTGGCAAAAAAGCCAACTCCTTCAGCTAAAATGCCAAAGGTATATGGCAGTGTGGCAGCTATGAAGCGTTCCAAAGCTTCACGTTGTAAGGTTTCTGATGTGGTAAAATTACACAAAGAATTTCATAGTACTCCAGATCTTAATAACATGGAAATTAGTGATGATCTGGCCCATCTTAAAAAGAAATGTAAGAGTCAGGAAGACGTCAGTGCTTTAAACATCAAAAACAGTAGACATTCATGGGCTTGTCCTCCACATAATAATAATAATAAACCATTTGCCTCTTCTGTCCAAAAACACTTTGCATCATGCCATGAAACATGGAAGTCGATTGAAGAATTGTATGAGCAAGTTAAAGATACAAACAACAGGGATATTTTAACTAATACTGAAGTTCCTTCACAGATTTATGCAGAAACTTTGTCTATCCACCAGAATGATAAAATGACAGCATCACCAAGAACTAAGTGCCCTCCTCCAACACACCATCCACCTCCACCTCCACAAGGACAGGTAGTGAAAGTCGATGTCTCAAGAACATTAGGAGAGTATGCTAATATTACTGCCATCAGAAAACAGGACTGTATGGTAATGTCAAGTTTTCGTCCTGGAGATAGTGCCAAACTTTATGCTTCTCCGGAGTCAGTAATGCCTGTTGGTTACAAATCTAGACCTGAGACTCGAAAGCTTGAGCACTGTCATCCCAGAAGAGGTGGTGGTGGCTCTAGTCTGAGATCTCATTCTTTACCTCCAAAAATACCAGTACCAAAACTGCTAAATACTCCAAGTAATACCTCCTCAGAAACTGATAATAATGGAGATTCTGGAGCAATCTACTCCACATTTAGGTTGCATAACAAACAAAGAGATTCTATATCTTCTAATGGCAGTTCGATGTCTGAAAAAGTGACTTTGAAATCACAGAAACCTCTGGCAGATAGTGTTACCTTTACTTCTGCAAGCAGCGTTCTCCATTCCCACAAAAATCTGCATTGTGAATTGTCAGAACCTTATATCCCAGAACCTGATTATGAAAGTAGTGAAGATAATGAACAAGAAGTTTGTCTTCTTTCTAAATGCATAAAAAATGACACAACTTTCCTTCAAGACAAAGAAAAAGTCTTGGCTGATGGTTCAAACTATCCTAAACCACAGAGTCCCCACACAGAAGCAAAGCGAGCAATCCAAGAAGCAAGAGAACGACTCAGGTTTACTCAGAAATTTAAAAGTAAAACAACTAATAGTCATGAATCAATTTACAGTACTACTAAAACTATCCATGATACCACATTATCCTACAGTTGTCTTGATAGTCAAAACTCCTCTTCAGTTGTCAATGAGAATTCACAAGATAATAATTCAAAGACATTCCAAATCACTGAAGAAACGCATTCTATATCTCATAAACGTTCAGATAAAGAAAAAGCTGATACCAAAAACTTGCATACATCAGAAGATACTCTGAATGGTAAAAAAATAGATTTGTGTGTAAACTCTTCATGTTCAGTCAAAGAAAATATATCTGCTTTTGAAGAAAAAGAAATCCTTACTAAATCTGCTACCTTACCATCCAGGAAGAATGATGGTATACGTATAGCACTAACTGGTGCCCAACACAGGACAGAAACTCACCAAAAAGAAGTATCCTCTCCTTTGAATTCTCCCATAAGACCATCTAAGTCATTTCCTAAAAACTTCATACATGAAGATGTTGAAAAGTATGAGAATAGTTCTAGTGGTGTGTCATCAGATGTTGAAGTACAAAGTGAGTGTGTTGTAATGGGACCTCTCAATGGCCAAATTTCAAAAAAATTTCAAAAACAAAATTCAGTGGGGAAAAAAAAAGGATGTATTGACAATACTTCCAAACAAGTGGTACCAAAGGAACAGAATTTGCTAGGTAAAAGCATAAATGTGAATTCTGTTGAAGATATTTCTACAATTATATCTGTCTCCAAGATCAACATTGGTAAATTACCTGCTTATAACCATGAAACTATATCCTGTGTTAAGGGAGCTGCTTCCAGTTTAGGACAGAGTCAGAACAAAAGTTCTGCAGTTAAAGTTATCAAACCACAAGAAAATGAAAGCTTGAACAAAAGCCAGTGTTCACCTACTCCTGTTAAAGAAATAAACATTAGAAGTGTCAGTATTGTCTCGGATAGTAAAGCTAAGTTGAGAAAGGTGTCAGATGAAAATCTGAAGTTAAGCCAAAGTATTGATGAAAGTCTTCAGATGATCAGACTTCAAGTAGACTCCTTAGGTCGAGCAGCAGTAAATGAGGTAGATGTATTCACAGAACTTGTACCTCCTCCACCTGAATTTGCTGCACCCCCATCTTCATACAGTTCCACTGAACAGTTTTCATCAATGATTGCACCACCTCTTGAATTTTCTGATGGCAGTGCAAGAAAATCTGCCAAAAAGGTTTTGTCTAATGTCCAACGATTTTCATCCACTGCTAGTAACTCTTCTGGTCAAATGGGATCTCCTGATGTTCAGAGGACTAGTTATTCTTACAAAGATGATTCCTATCAGACAGTTTCAGGCTCCAAGGTTGTTCAAACCTCACAGCACAGTGACATGGCATACATGGGAAGTCCATCAAAAGCTCAAATGAATGATAAGGATCCTCATCTAGCCACTACTATGGTGAAGCAGTTAGGAACCCGTGTCTTACCATATAGCATCCCTTCAAGTAGATTTCCCATGAATCGTTTAACTTCTTCTCCAGTACAAAGTATTGGTGATAAAGTAGTGATGAAGTCAATCCATAAAGCATTTCACCAGAAGCCATTGCTAGAGTGGAATAACAAGGATGTTTCAGACTGGCTAGAAAGTTTATTTTTACCTGAATACAAAGCTCGCTTTGTAGAAGCGGGAATAACAGGTGCAAAGTTGATTAATATTGACAGTAATGATCTAATGGGGCTTGGCATTAAAAAAGTCAGTCATCGTTTAAATATAGAGCGATCTATTAAGCACTATATGAAATAGTGACACTGTTTATGATATTACTATAGAAGTTTTTACAATTTCAGTTTACTTTTGTCAAATGCTGTTGTATATACATATGAAATAGTGACTTTCAGCTTGTTTTTTATTTAACATTTAATTGGAACAATGATGGGAAACAGTGCATTTTTCTATACAAAGTACAAATTTTATTGTTCAACATAAACATTACATGGCTAAGTCTTTAGTGTGTTTAGATTGTGTTTTAGTCAAGCAGCTCATAACATATTGATTAATCAAGAACATTGTACTTTTAAAAAGATCTGGTAAATTTATATAGATGTTTTTATAGATAATGTCTTTACTACTAGAGAGTGGTATATGAGTGATAGTAATTGAGAATTTTTATTACATTAAACCTTTGAATTTTGTTACTTTAAACTTTGCATGCACAACACATTAAAGGTTCATACTCATATTTGTATATAGAGTAACAATCAGATAAATTTGCATATGTTTGTAGAGTCAGCAAGTTATAAATAGTGCAGAAAAGCTTAGCATGCACTAAAGATAACTTCAAGTTGTGACTGAAAACAAATATAAAATAGTCTGTCCATCTTCTCAGGTAGTTAATGACAAGTGTGCTTCTCAAAGGTATTCTTCACAGAATTTTGATGTGGCTTTCAGTAGTTTGTTTGTGATTCAAGCTTGGAATATTTCTAGTAAATTTTACAGAATTAATTTGAATAACTCACCATAAATTAGAATATCACTGTTACTTACTAGATTAATCCTTTTGTATATAAAATAATACTTCAGAATTGGACTTCATTAACACAGTGTTAAAATTATTGAAAAACACAGTTTTAGTGTTATGTAGTTTATGACTCTTCAAGATTTGAATAAACAGCCTAATATCACAATCGCTCAAGTTATGTATATAGATGTTTAGTATACTCTCTAACTGTTTGTAAGCTTATTTTTTTAATTTCAAAATCTTTTATCATATTGAACTTTTAACAGCAAATGAAAATTATGGCCTTAGTAATTAAATTGAAAGATAACAAGTTTAAGATGGGTTTTTGCAAAAGCCTAATAAATTTGAATTGGGTAACACAGGTAAATGAAGTGTAGATTTATATTACAAATAAATGTTCAAGTTGATTAACAAAAATATAATTTTAAAGATGTGAAGTGGCTATTTTTGTTTGATTTTTTTATTGTGTAAGATTCCTATTGATAAAGTAATATACAAAATCTCATCCTTAGGAGAATTAAAAGTGACGTTTTGCACTTATGAATGTGTTATGTTCAGACAATCCAGGTTAATCTCATTTCACTGATTATAATAAAACTTCACAACCTTTTTTTTTAATACCAAGAGTATTAAATTATATGAAAATGTGTTTTTGACTTAGCTTGATTTAACAAAGGTTTTTATAAAAAATATTAGTTTATCAGACATATTTTAAAGAAAAAGCAAACACCAAACTTCAATCTTAAATCTCAAGAGAAAATCCCTTTCTTTAAGATTTAAATTTTTGAGTACACGTTTTATACTGCACATCCATCAGCACTTTTATAGAAATTATTTTAAAAGAATAATAAGTAGCTGTGTAAACGCTTCCTCAAACAACAAAATTATTTCAAGTAACAGCCTAATTTCTAAAAATTGTAACCATGAATTGTGGAGTACACAAAATCAAATCTCCAGCTTGTACATTCTATTTATTTCTAACTAGGGAGGGGGGGGGGATTGTGCAAAGAAGTCAGAAAATAATTGTATCTGTCACTATCTAAGGTGTGCTCAGATGAAGTATAATTAGTGATTCCTGTTGTAATAGTTTTGCCTGTAATATAATCTGTGTATATAAATAAATAAAAATATATATATATATACATGTATAGTTCTAGGCTTGTGGTCAGTTGTAATAATTTTAAATTTGTGTTATGCGATATCTCTCCATTCTTTACCAGTTGATTATTGTGGTGTTGTATATGCTTGTTTAAATATTTATAACATGAATTTAGCAGTGTTGTGTAAAAAATGTGTATCATGTAAAATATAAGTTGTGGTAAAAGCCATCAGTTTAAGCTGTAATTGGTTTTCACAGAGATGTAAAATCATTTGTAGTAGATTTATTGTGGATCTGCATTCAACTTTGTGATCATAACTTTTAGATTGTAAAGATGTTATTAAAAGTGGACAGTTTTTCCAGAAACTTTTAAGAGTACGGTTTCTGTGGTATTTGATTTACTTTAAAGCAAATTTGCATCAGGAAAACAATGTACATACCAGCTAATCAATACACAGAAGACTGGAAGACTAGGTAGTGAAATATGTTCAGGATTAGTTTAGATAAAAAAAAGTTACATAACATCTAGTGAAAATTGTATTGGATTTTCATCCATATTTACAAGACTGGAAGAATTTATCTTAAAATTTTATAAATTAGATTTAGTCCACATTCAGAAGGATAAAAATGAAACAAAAGATTGGAAATAGTGTTATAAGAATTGTATCATGCGCTATGGCCCATAAATAAAAGCTAGAAATCTAACTTATATAAAAGCCAGTGTGTGTCACGTCACGCATGATTTCTCGAAATAGGAGGAGTCATAAAAGCCAAAATGCATTTATCCAGATAGAATAGTTTGATTACTATCTGCCCATTACGATTTTATCGACGGTGATGCAAGGGTGCCGTGAAACCTTATAGGTATAGTGAGTGTCGGTATAATAAGCCTAAAGTAAAGGCCAAGTACACAAAATTTGTCATGAAAGTAAAAATGTCGATTCAATTTTAAACTTAAATCGTTTCTGAATGAAGCTATTTTCTGTTAATAACAAAAAATAAATCTTTTTAATCAACGGTTTTTCCAGTTTTGTTGTCTATACATTTCATTTTACACTTTCAGTACACAGACTAAAAACAATATTATTATTAATATTAGGTTATACTTTTGTTGCTAAGCGACATGACATAAAAGCCATTGGTGGAACATAGTGTAACCAAAATGCACTGATTCTTCTATATATTAGAAGTTATTAATCTGAATTTTACCAGTAATCATTCTATGAATACGCCACGAATCATTTCGTGAATGATCTTCATTTTGATTGGCTCACAAAGGAACTTACCGACGTTTGACTGCCTCGACTGCTCTTTTCTGCCTCTTTGTTGTTCAAACTTGATTTCGCAAAATTTATTTATTTCGGTTAGCTATTAGATTTGTAAGATTAGGGTATACTATGGGTTGGGGGTGGTAGTTATTGACCCGTCATTTTTGACGGGCTATACGCTAATTGTATTATAAACATCATATGTATGCCATAATCCAGATGAAGAAGACAATAATTTGGTGAAAAATATTTTCAGTGGTGTAATTATAATATTTTTATGGCATTTTTATTTAATGAAAAAAAATAACAAATTATAAATCTATTTAACTGGTAGCCCCCAGTGGCACAACGGTACGTCCGCGGACTTACAACGCTAGAAACCGGGTTTCGATACCCGTGGTGGGCAGCGCACAGATAGCCCATGTTGTAGCTTTGTGCATAATTACAAACAAACAAACATTTAATTGGTAACTTCCCATAATACACCAATACATACTTTTTTGGACCAATCAGAGAAGTACATGACAATAATCAAATTATAGAATTTAATTTTAGTTTCATTCAAGTTGCAAAGGTAAATTTGAAGTAATTCCACCAACACTGGAGAATGTAATATCTATAGACATCGTTGTTTTTAAATATTATTAGTTGTACCAAGACTGACTTGGTACTGATGTACAAACAATTAACTTCATATTAGAAAATATTAAGGTTGAATAATATACACCTGGAAAAAAGTTAAGCACCCCCAAATATTTTTCAGGATTGCTTATTGAAAATAAGGTTTAATTTTCATGATGTTGAGC